AAAAAATTCTTTAAGATCCTGGCACAATGTGAACTTTTTAGTATCTTGCTACGCCTTTTCCCACTTATCCAGTTGGATATTTTTTCCTATGTTCTGGGCCCATCTAACCATTACATGATTCACTGTTCCCTTTTCCAAATTTCTTTCTCTGACCACCTTATGGTATTTTGCTATATGCATCATCTTTATCCTCAACGATTTTGTCTAACTCAGTTTTATTTACTTCAAAGCCCATTGCCGTCTTATCGATTTTGAATCTTTCATTCAATTGCATATATAATAGCCAGCTGTTAATTTTCCCTTCTTGTTCTAGTTGTTCCCTGGTTTTCATCTTATACTCTGTCTTATTTTCTTTATTGTCCACTCCAAGATATAATAATATCTAATCCATAAATGTTCTTCGCTTTTAGTTCTATATAGATGAGCCTCTTGAGGGGATACCCACAATGGCATTTTTCTATAGAATCTTTGTCTTACTTTTATCCAAACTTTTAGCAATGCTCTTCTAACATAATGATGTTTGAAATCTTTGTTATACCTTGTCTTTCCATACCATAAGTAGGCATGCCATCCAAATCTTATGTTGTCACCTTCTCTGTTTAAGAGTCTTTCATTATTTAATTTAATCCATTCCTCTATCTAACTCAGAGCGCAAGCGTAATAGTATGTTTTGAAATCAGGTAAAGCACATCCTCCCTTATTTTTAGATTCTACCAGACTAGTCTATTTTATTCTAGATTTTTTACCCATCCATATAAATTTGGATATCTCCCTTCGCCAGGTATCAAAACATTTCTCATTATGTATTATAGGGATGTTCTGGAATAGATGCATTAGTTTGGATAAGACATTCATCTTTATTAAGGAGATTCTTCCTAGTAAAGAAATCTGTAATTTTGACCATCAGATCCTTCTGGATGTTTCTGACCATCAGATCCTTCTGGATGTCTGTAATTTTGACTATCAGATCCTTCTGGATGTTTTTCCATGCTTTATTGTAATTGTTTTCATATAGGTCTGCATTTCTTTTTGTTATATATATTCCCAAATATTTCACCTTTTTCTTTATCCTAAATTTAGTTATTTCTTTTAAAGCTTCTTCCACTTTTTTATTCATATTCATGGTTATAATCGCTGTCTTCTCTTGGTTTATTTTAAATCCTTCCATTTTTCTGTATTCTTGTATGGTGAACAATAATCTCTGTATACTTTTCAGAGGATCTTATAAGAAGCAGACTACATCATCCACATAGACCTTGATCTTATAACTGTATCCTCTTACTCTTACCCCTTTAATGTCATTGTCTTATCTTATTTTAATGATTAAAATTTCTAAGATCATTATAAATAATAGTAGTGACATTGGGCAGCCTTGCCTCGTTCCTTTTTCTATGTTGATTGGTTCTGTCTTTTCTTCGTTCATTATAATTTGTGCCCTCTGTTCCTTATATATTGCTTGTATCCATTTTTCAAACCCTTTTCCCACGTTCATTTTCTATGACTTCCTTCAAAAATATCCAGCTCACTTTATTGAATGCTTTTTCAGCATCAATAAAGATTATTGCTAGCTGTTTTTCGTAATGTTTTTCAAAATATTCCACCACATTTAAGACCGTTCTAATGTTGTTTTTTATATGGCTGTTTAGTAAAAATCCATTTTGATCTTCGTTGATTATTTCTTTCAGGATTTTCTTTAATCTTTCTGCTATAATTGTTGCAAAAATTGTGTAATCACTGTTTAGCAGTGATATGGAGCGATAGTTCTTTATGTCTCTTCCATTTCTATCCTCTTTCAGAATCAAAGTAATGTATGTGATTTTCCATGAATCTGGTATCCCCTTATTTTGTATTTCATTGAACATTTTAAGTAGGGGGATCTTAATCACATCTTCCATTTTTGTATAGAATATAGATGAGAGGCCATCTGGGCCAGATGCCTTTCCTAATTTCGCTTTTCTAATTGCATCCGATATTTCTTTTTCTGTAATCTTTTTATTCAGCTCCTCTTTTTGACTTTCGGATATTTCTACTACTTTCTGCTGATCTAAATATGTTTGAATCCTTCCCTTGTCTGTTTCTACACAATCTGTGTTTTTATACAATGTTTCAAAATATTTTTGAAATATCTTTGATTTTTTTCTTGAACTGTATAAATTTTCCCTTTGTTCTTATTTCGGTAATGAGTTTTTAATTTATTTATTTTCTTATTTTGTTAGCTAGGATTTTGCTCGGTTTATTTCCCATTCAAAATGCTTTTGTTTTACATTTTGCAGTTTCTTTTCCATGTCCTTTATTGTTAATGCTTTCAGCTGTTGTTCCAAAA